TTCTTCACAGGCGTACTGGGAACGGCCACGACACCGGCGGTGACAAATCTTGTGGGCACCCAAGGTATGCCGTACAGTTGATCCCGAGAATCGCAACCCGTCGGGGAACAGCACACGATCCGCGAATTCGCCTCGAAGCGCGTTCGTGTCCTCGCGCGGCTCACAAGATGGCGACTGAGCGCAGGCGGCAAGCTCGCTTCCGAGACGCATGTCTTCATTGTGCGCCAAGCGAAGAGCGGTCGCGACGGCGGGGCCCCGCGACCGCACGTCGAGCGCTCTATAAAGGAAGATGGATTTGCAACATGCCGGAAGCCAAGTAGTTTGAGCAGCCACTTGAGCGGCGCACATCATGCAAACGCGACGCAAGTGGGGGCGTCGCTAAACAACGCCCACCCTCTTGATTTTATGGCGGGCGCGGTCTCGGACGGGTGCGCGTTTCTCCTTTCGGCAGCGCTCAAATCACCGCCGAAGCTGCGGAAAGCGAACAAATTCGTCTGCGACCGAATCGGGGAGGGCAGACCAACCCCCTTCTGGAGCCGGGCATGTGCAGTGCACTTGGAAAAAAGCACAAAGCTCATCGACAGCGCGCGAGCGGCCATTAGCGTCAGTGGCCGGCTTGCGATGTGAACAACCACCCCATGGCGATGCCCGGCACCGGCACTGGCCCAACACTCCCGAACTGACTCGGCTTCCCGCCAGCATACACGCTAGCGGTGTCCACACGGGCATATCTGCGCCCTGTCTGCATTCATGCGCCCGGAGACTCAACGCCGACATCCCCCCCTCGCACCTGTGGTCTCAGTGCGTGCGCTCGCGATGCACGCCACGCTCAAGAGCGCCACAACGGCCAGCAGTGGCGCCGCGCGCAGAACCATCCTAGCTAAGCTGCAGCGGGATCGGGCGTGGTCCTGGCGTGCCGAGCTGGTTGCTTCGCACGGATATCTAAGCGGACTCTTTCCGCCAGCGCTCGACTGAGCACGGCGCCGAACATGCGCGGTTTGCGCCGCGGTCTTATACCCCAGGGGCGGAGCGCGAGTGGTGTTGCATCTCGTACCTCCAGCGGCCGGTTGATCTTGGAAAGCCGCGCCGTCTTGTGAGGGCTACACTACATGGCCTGCCCTCTGTCGGTCGGCTTGGCAGTAATCGATCAAGGTGGCGTACTGGTGAGATTCGTAGTGTCGCGGCCGTTGTGCGCCAGCTGCGGCGCAAGTGCCGACAGTACGTACAGTCCCACTGGATATCTGTGTGGAGACTCGCCCTGTGCGCTCGCGTGTTTGTGTGTCCTGCCCAGTGGTTGTACAGGTGCGATGGCAGACGTCAACTCATCGCTGCGGTCATCGTTAGACATGACCCTGACGAGGTGTGAGAAGAGGGAGGATGTACGGAATGCCTAACATCGTCACGACACCGACAGGTCCCGTGCGACGTGACACAAAGAGCTACCCGTCTGTTAGCAACATCACTCAGGGTCGCTCGCCTTGCAGCCCATCAGCGTTTGGATTGCCCCACAACATGTACCGCACCATTAGGTCATCTGTGTGCAGGGGCGACCCACCGGTGGGCACCCGCTGGTACCAGCGGGTCTGCCATGTGGACGCACTTATGTCTTTGTTTGTCTCACCGCAGCCACCAACGTGAAGTACTCCCCAAGCGAGCGGACAGCAGTGGACTCTTCCTCGGCTGCTCACCCATCCAATACATTTTTCGACGTAAATACCGGAGCCCTTGGGATCTACTCAAGCCAGGGAAGCTTCGCCAAACATCGATGCAGCAAAGGTACAGGATGGAGCGACTGTCAGTCTCTCTGACTCGCAACTTGAGCCCACGCGTAGCTATGGCGTCGTATTGCGCCTTCCTCATCGGAATGTGTTGGGCCCTTCTTTCTGGGGGACTACAGGCAGCTGCTCCTACAATCACTTATCAGCGATGTGCTGCGATAAGCGCATCAGCTCATGACTAATGAGAGGCGACGAGGTGGATATCATTTGTGCTGCAGCTGCCGTGCTGGCAGCTGCATCTACTTCCAGCGTAGACTACTCTTTAACTCTATCAGTTTATTTTTCCGCCCATCTAATGCCCCTCGTCTGTTTTAGCAATCAGCCTGCAAATAGATTGCGATGTATTGCAGCCATCCCCTAGATAGCGTCTTTTCAGCTCGTGATCCCATGCCTCAACATGTCTCTGCAGCTCAACTGCACCACATGACTTTCTGTGGATCTCCACAGAAGTACCCTAGCATAGATGTGCCCATGGCTATGTCGCCAGCTCCATGCCAGGGTTAAAGCGTGGGACTGCGTCGACACTGACAGCACCAGTCATCAATTGCACCACCATCTATGTCTTTAGATAGTGACATGATGGATCGTTAAAATAATGCCCACTATTTTCACATTTTTCCTGCAGCTGCTGCAATCCTGTGTTTATATTTGCGTTCGGCAAGACCGAGCGGTTGCCATGCATGTTGTAGGCGCTGACGGGCGTTTATACATAAAGAAACGCAGTTCTGTCCCAAATTAATTTATTCGGCTTGCCGCCCGTGTGGTCAGACATTTCAGGCAACAGCCCAGGCTCATCTCTGTTTTGCATTCTCTTGTGGGCAAATGCGTTATTGGCAAGTAACAACACTGGAAACACTTCAGTCGGAAGTATACAGGAGTGCATCAGAGTATATCGACACGATGTGTCTTTTGCACTGGTTCAATTGCACTGTGGTCATCGTGCATACGATCACCACAATGTACTAAAACCATTGCATTATGCATTCTGATGTGAGCACCGACAATTCCATCACTTCCTCGAGGCTGGCAAACTCCTCCAGCGCCGGCCGATGTCCATTTCGCAGGAGGTGTGGCCTCGGAGGCCGGGGCCCCCGGCGTCGGCGGAGTAACAGTGGGGCCTACGCACGGCGACGGTGAACTCCCTCTTCTCCTGCTACGAATCCCGCCGACACCGTGAGGTCCCACCCAGCCAACCACCCAAGGGGCCGCGACGCCCCTCTGCGACGTCGGCAGCGGTTGGGCATTTCCACAACTGTAAGTCATTCGCACTTGAAGAATCAGGACGCCCAGCATTTATTGCCTTTCTGTGTGCCTGGATAAGGTTTGCCAGCCACGGCGGTTGCAGCCAAGGCGTCACACACGCAGCGTTCCTCCCTGCGCTGATCTTCTCGCAGCTATGGCACTTGCCATCAAGAAACAAGTCGCTTTGGGGCAAGATAGAAAACGATGCACATTTATCTTGCTGGGGAGGAGAGCTGCACGAGAACTGTTCTCAGTCTGTTCAGGATTTGAACAGCTTTGGTGCAAGTGCGCTACGACAAGACAGCCTGATTTAAGAGCTTACAATACTTCCAACTAATTGCAGTACTGCAGCATCCAGCTCCAATGCACCTGGTGTTTAGTCGCCCCCTAGCTTCAGTCCCAAGGGCCCAAAAGACAAACATAGGGTTTGCCTGCCGGTGGATAGTGGCAATGATTGCGTCAGCCAGGCGGGTGCGATTAGGAAAGATTCTGGATATTTCACAGCCAAAGTGGCAGCCAAGAACATTTGGTGCGCTCTACAATGGGGCCCTGCCACTTGCGACCTCTGCAGTAATTCAGACCCCGGGAGCGGAGAGCCTGTCGATATCGGAAATTTGGATTAGCACACCAAGACAAAGAACGGCTCATGAATCGTACGTGATCTGGGTTCTCAATGGTAACCATGACTTACCAGTGGCAAGTGATCAGTTGCAACTGGTGAATCGTGGTTGCCATTGAAAGCCAAGTTGTTGCACGTTCTCACAAGAAGAGAGTTTTGAGAGTGACAATTGCAGCTGCAAATAAAGTGGCGCTCGGGTTGGAACGAGCGCTGGAGTACCAGGATCGGCTTCGTCAAGTGTGGCGACGAGACGGGCAATGGTCCTGGAGTGTGCTTCAATCCGCAGTTGACTGGACTGGCCACATGGGCGAATTTCGCCTGGGCGCATGCAAGGGACCGAAACATCCAAACATCAAGTTTTGGTGTCCTGTGCCCTTGCAAGGGCCCAGGCTGTGGGGCTTTCGTTCGAGCCGCACATGCATATGATGCCCAAAGGAATTGCTGGCACGCCCAAGATGCAAGATATTCACGAGCTGTCCATTGAATTCATTGGGTTTCAGACCTCTGCCTCCGCACGCACCCTAACTGTCATGAAAAATCATCGATGCGCTCGCAGCTGTTCGCTTCTGCAACTGCACACGAAACGACCTGTAGACTATGTAACATGCGTTGCGTCGTTGGGCGCCTGGCGGGCTCACAACGCTCGACGCTTCGGCATTCTGGTTTGCAGCCTACTGCATCGTGGCTGGTTGCCCAATACCCCGCGCCCACGCGCAGTGCCAACATGGCGCTCAGTGATACCTAACGGGCTGCGCGGACCACCAGTGACGCAGAATTTGTTCAAGGAACGCCTTGCAGATTTGACCATCAGGGTGGAGCCCAGGCGGACTCGCAGAAGAGATACACAACACTCACTGCCACCCTACCCACCCCGTGGGAACACCGTCGCGCAGATTCACAAGATTTTCAAAATTATTCCCAATCGTACAATTTGCGGACCATGAGAGGCGCGGCTGCACAGCCAAGACGCCCACCGAACTGCGCACCTCTGGTGCGCTGACAAGGAAACGGGCCCAGTGAATTCACCTGTCAAGCATGGCTGCTACTGACGCGGCCATTTCCACTGCGCACATTGCTGCACCTCCTGCGAGCCCCCATTTGGCCCAAATGAAATGCCCGACCTCCAAGAATAATCAAATGCTATACATTCAATGCACACGGGCCACAGGCACCCCGCCCCCCTCTCGCCTACCCTCCTCCGCACCCGGTCTCCACAATAAAAAACAATTGTGTGACGTTGTCACACTTCCGTCTCGTTTCGTTTGGGGACGACACCGCATGACCCGTCCCAACGCAGCTTCGTGACAGTTTCATGGCGATTCCCCGACAGCCTCGCAGGAGTCGCGGCAGCGGCGCCGGCGTCAGTCGTACAGACCCGCGTCGTCGTCGTCTGCCTGCGCGTAAGCGCCGCCGTCCGTGGTGGGCTGCGTGTTCCCTGGCTGGACAGGGTTGTCTGTGAACCGGAATCCCCCAAATCCCCGTGTTTGCCGCATGCTCTCCTTGAACGACTCGTACTGCAGCTTTTGGGTCTGCGTGACGCTCTGCCTGGCAAACTTCATCGCCTCCTCAAAGTGGGCTCTGGTGATGAAGGGCACGTCATCCACCTCCTCCACCTCCATAGAATCCCCCTCCCCGGCGTTCGCCTTCGCCCGCTCGCGCTCTATGTCCTTCTCGATGCTCTCGCGAATGGCATACTTGCAGGCCCGTTGGCAGATCTCTGTGATGTCCGCACCGCTGAAGTCGTTGGTGTGCTTGACAAGGGCCTCGATGTCCACGTCGGGTGCCACGGGCGACTTGCGCAGCACCGCCTTGAAGATCTGTCGCCTTGACTCGGCATCTGGCAGGGGGATGTAGATGAGCTGGTCCAGGCGGCCCGGGCGCAGGAGCGCAGGGTCGATGATCTCTGGCCGGTTGGTCGCCCCTATGATGAACACTGTCTTCTTGGACGTCATGCCATCCATCTCTGTGAGCAGCTGGTTCAGCACCCTGTCACCAGCGCCCCCGGCATCCCCTGCAGAGTTGCCCCGCTGCACAGCTATGGAATCCAACTCGTCAAAGAATAAGACACATGGTGCAGCCTGACGTGCCTTGTCGAAGATCTCACGTACGTTGGCCTCCGACTCTCCGAACCACATGGTGAGCATCTCTGGCCCTTTCACGCTGATGAAGTTGGCCTGGCACTCATTGGCAATGGCCTTTGCCAGCAGCGTCTTCCCGCATCCGGGTGGGCCATAGAACAGCACACCCTTGGATGGCGACATGCCATACTTCTCGAACTTCTCTGGGTGCTCCACAGGGTACTGCACGATCTCCTGCAGCTCCCGCTTCACATCCTCCAGTCCTCCGATGTCCTCCCATGAGATGTTGGGCACCTCCACGACGGTCTCCCTCAGAGCTGAAGGGTTAGTGCTGCCGAGTGCAGTCTTGAAGTGCTCCTGTGTTACTGCCATCGAGTTGAGAATCTCTGCGTCGATGCTGTCATCCTCCAAGTCGATCACGTCCATCTTCTCGCGGATGCACTGCAGGGCAGCCTCTGTGCAGAGGGCCGCCAGGTCCGCCCCCACGTAGCCGTGCGTTTGAGACGCCACGGCCTCCAGATCCACCTCATCGTCCAGTTTCATGTTCTTGGTGTGGATGCGCATCACTTCCAGACGACCAACCTCGTCAGGGACACCAATGTCGATCTCGCGATCGAATCGCCCGAATCGCCGCAGGGCGGGGTCGATGCTGTTGGGCCGGTTCGTGGCCCCTATTACCACAACGTGGGCCCTGGATTTGAGCCCATCCATGAGGGTCAGCAGCTGTGACACAATACGCCTTTCCACCTCTCCATGCGTCTTCTCGCGTTTTGGGGCGATGGAGTCAATCTCATCGATGAAGATAATCGAGGGTGCGTTCTTCTCCGACTCCTCGAAGGCCTTCCGGAGGTTGCTCTCACTCTCACCGGCAAGCTTCGACATGATTTCTGGCCCATTTATCAGGAAGAAGAATGCACCCGTCTCGTTTGCAACGGCCCGAGCAATGAGGGTCTTCCCGGAACCTGGGGGTCCGTACAACAGAATGCCCTTTGGTGGTTTAACACCAATGGTCTTGAACAGCTGTGGGTGCCTTAGTGGCAGCTCGACCAGCTCACGAATCTGTGCCATTTGCTTGCGAAGCCCTCCCACGTCGTCATAGCCAACGTCATCAAGCTTCTCCTCATCTTCCCGCTTGATGGGGTCGCCCTCACAGTAAATTGCTGTGTCAGGAGCAACGATGCAATACTCGCCAGGATCTGTCTCCACCACCTTGAATTCGATGCTTCGCATGCCTCCCCGCACAAGGAAGGTGTCATTCTGAAAGCAGCACATTCACAGGCATGAAAACACCACACACGAACCTAAAAGCCAGGACAATATTTGGCAAATAGCACATGCCGAATGGTAGTCTCAGCGGGATTGCTATCTGCCACATGGGCGAGAATGGCCTGTGATCGGCAGGCATCAAGCACTGTGCCGAAACTAGTTGAACATCAGAATGCATAGATAATCGTGTGCAGAAGGGCCAGCAGTGTAAATGATTGCAGCAGTCCATATTTGTGGTCCAATTGGCGACTAAAACAATGCAATACTGCGTACTTCAAACTCTGTCCAGAAGGAGGTTATTTCTAGCAGAGCAACACCGCAAATGTGACAATGTTCTAACAGCACAGTGGCGAAACAAGCACCCACCATCCAGTCCAATGTGCATTCGCATTTCATGTCCCAACACAAAGGAACCTCAGCCTGACAGAGTGGGTTGTGGCTTCAACATCCTGCAATAGATGTGCTGTTTGCATTCAGCACATTGCATGTGTCCATGGACTGCTGGATGTTCGTGCTTGTTGCACCCAAATAGAACTACCACCAAAAAAGCAACCAAACGACAAGCATTTCAATATGTGCATTGTTCACATCTGTGTGCCATTGCCAATGCAACTTCCCAACATGATTGGGTCAACATCAAAAGTGTCATGAGCATCCTTGTAATGTGACTGCATGCAGAGTTACAAGTTTCAGCTCGAGCGTAGTTGCATATGAGATCAAGCCATTGGAAGCACAAATCAACAATGGACCTGTCTACCTTGCGAACTGGTCGGTAGGCCTCAAGGAAGTAGGGCTTCAGGTAGGTGTCAAACAGGTTGCCTGTGAGCCCCTCGATAGTGTCGTCGATAGGAAGCACATGGACACGCTTCCCATACTTGATGTCGGTGCACTGTGGGCCCCACACAACAGGATTCACGACCCATTCATGAGCTCTTTGGCTGCCTCATGAACCCGTCCGGTGCCACAACCACCACTTACGATCTATTGTGGCATCAAAAAAAAAAGGAAAAAAAACGGGGGGAAGCAAACTGTCTGATGTGCCGGATGAACACCCCCTATTCATAAATCAAAACAGCCAAACGAGCGCAAGACAATCGATGGATTGGATGAGGAGCAACATGGTTCAGTACACAAGGGTTCGGCAGCCTATTCGTCCATCAACGCGGCCCAGGATCTGTGGCGTACGCCCGGCATTGAACAAGGACGATCGGGTCCATGGGCCCCGTCGTG